ACGGAGTATTTCAAATAGTAAGTTAATTTCCAACGAATTTTATCATCCATTCCCTTTGCACTTTCTATGGACTTTATGTTGGTTTTTAAATAATTGAATGCTGTTTGGATTTTTCCAACTGATTTAGATTTTTTCGGAACTATTCCTTCTCCATTTGGTTCAGAATTTGTTCATTTCAAATTTTACGGGATGTCTAATGTTTCCAAAATCTTTTTAAAGAACTAAATTGATTTTCCCTGGAGTTTCGAATCTTTTCTTTTTTGCAAATACATTTATCTAGTTTTTAATGGACATTATTATGTGCTCCGTTCCAGTGGATATGCAACCAAATGGTAATCCTGCTGTGAGTTCTCCTCTTATCCGTATGGTGCAGCAAACAACGCCTTTCTACGGACATGACCCAAATGTTGCAGGAAGTGGTACCACTTTTAGTGTGGTTTGATCAATTTTAGGTCGCAGATTGGAAGTTTAGTGAATTCTTTTTCTGCGGTTAGACATATGAATGAAATTATTTATTTCAATGATGAAAAATTACAGTGCAATCGGATATGTGCCTTGTCGGTTGTTTTTTCGTGGTTATTGAACATGAAAAAGTGTTGGTGGATCGTTTAGATGTACAGGAAATTGGTGCCGTTGTTCGGTTACATGGTGGTGAAATCGAGTTCGGTGTACGAGCTTACAATAATGTGAACAGTGATCGAGTAACCCATGTCATCTGCGAATCTATGCGACATCCATTAGTTCAACAGGTGATGAGAATTAGCATCAGTTTACTTTGACCAGTTAATCATTTGTAATTTCATGCCGTTTTGGTTTTTAAATAGACTCTTTTTTTCTTGCAAGTTTACAATTCATTAGTTTTGTATTTTTGTATTCTACTTCAGTTTGACCTATTTCATAAAGTCTTTGCTTCTTTTTATTTATTTCCTATATCAGTAGAAACAATATGTATTACATGACCTCAGTTTGAATTTTTACAGGCATTGAAAAGGGGTAAGCGATGTGTAACACTGCATTGGTTAAACGATGTTCTCACTAAGAAACATCTTGAAGCACCCTGGCGTGTTTTTCATTTGCCAACTTTCTGGACCGATAATCATAGACCAGCTGTTGGCAAAGTATGAATTAAAATAAGTTTTATTTGTAACAAAATGTCGAGAAGAGGATCCAGAAACCACGAAAAATTTGAGGAAACCGCAGACATGATGACATATTTTGGACATTGAAAAATTCTGAAAATTTTACAAGAACTTCGCTAAATTTGTGATTAATTCTTTTTCTGGTTTAAATTTTTTCGTAAATTTAACATTCGTCCAGTAATATCATTTTCTAGATAATAGCAATAAACGGTTTCAATGAAAATGAACGATGTGGTGTGCGAATGATGATTACTGCCATAGGAGCCCGTTATACTCCCCATCTTACTAGTCATAACCATTATCTGGTCACAAAAACGTATGAAGATTTCTATTTTGTTACTTTATAATTTCAATTATGGTTGTATCATTTTGCATTTTTTCACTTAACAAGAAATTTTGAGGGCAGAAATATGGCTAATTTGTACCTAATACAAACACTTGTTTCACAACATTATAAAATAAGTAAATCAATTATTTTTTTAGATCTGAAGGCGAGAAAGTAGAACGATGTCACGAAATGGGCATCTCAGTTGTAACATATCAGTGGCTAGTTGAGATTTATTTGGGTATCAAGAATGCGGTGAATGACAATGAAAATTGCAGTCCCATTCCGGGAATGGTCTCGGATACGAATGCGACACCTTATAATATGGAACATTATTCGGAAACATGCAAACAATTTTTATGTCTGTGCTTTGCTTAAATTCATTTTTCTTTAAAATCCGTAAATGAGTTGATTTGCTGTTTTCTTAGGCTTCTGCTTCTAATTTTGAGTCTTATATGAATTTTTTGCATATGAATGGACTTTTCTGTAAGTTTCATCAGTTTTATCCTAGAATGTGAATTTTAGGTCATTGTATTATTAATGAAACAAATTCTCCGTGCGATAAGGTTTAAATAAGTCTGGAAATGCAAGTTAAATAGGCATAAATTCTTGTCCAAAAAAGGAAGAGTTAATGTAAGGGATTAATGTTCCGTTAGAAAAAAAAAAAAAAAAAGATTAATTACAATAAACTCGGGTTCCTCGTTAAGTGTTCACATATTGTGAATGATATCTAACAGTACCTGAAGCTAAAAATGTGTATTCGACAATGCTAACTATAGAAAACAATTTCTTTTTTATTTACTAGATGTTACTGATGTTCATCATAGATAACAAATTATTTAGTTCCATGGAAAATACCAATTTTATTTGCAAATGAGCAGTGGCAGCGAGCTCTAGAAGTTAAACGAAACGTGGAAAATGATAAAAACATTTTTCCAAACAAACGATTCCGGTAAGCTTCTGGCAGGAATTTAAATTTGTAGACATAAGTTCAGAATTTAAGGTACATAAAGAAATTTCGCTAGTTAATACAACTATTTGTAGCATGACAACTCCACCCCCTACCGATGAAGAAATTGAAACAAGGTCTGAAATCGGTTCCCTCAAAGAAGTTCCAGTAGTGTGTTTCAGTGGTTTCACTCCCGAAGAAAAAGATGCATTAGGAAGAGTATGTTCTCATTTTCTAGTGTTAAATCAGATTTTGTCTGATTTTTAATTTTTGGTCCCAGTTTTTTTTTCGAATCAGGTTTCTAGTCTGAACTGGTCAGTCCAATACTTTCAGGTAAATTCGGGGATTAATTGAGAATTATTGTAGAATTTATGTTTGTGACAATAGAAATCGTAAATTTTTAGGAAAATAGATGCGAGAAGTAGGTGGCGACCATAATGTTCATTTCACATTTTTTTCGAAAGTTTTTGCAAGTTCGATTAATAAGTTAAAATCTAAGACAGAATTTTTCTTCAGAAAATACGCTTTCTTGGTGGTGCGATTACTGAAAAGGTGCAGGAATGCACACATCTGGTGGTACTTAATTTGTGGCGTACACTTAAGCTTCTGGAAGCAATAGCATTGGGCAAGAACGTTGTTGGACCGAACTGGATTACTGATGGCTATCGGTGCCGTGTCATTCCAGGTAACTTCTTAAAGTTTCCGAGAAGCCAGTAAAACTATGCTTTATTTGTTCAAAAATTTATCCAAGTCAAAAGAATATTAAATATTTGGAATTCATACATTTTACAATTTAAAACACAGATTCACTGGATTACTTTGCCCGCGATGAGGAAAATGAGAAAATATTTGGTTATAATTTGAAATATAGTGTTTTGAAAGCAAGGTATCGGAAGCTTTTTCAGGTATG